GAACAAGCGGCACAGAGACTAGGTATACTTTCTTTCAAGTATACTTAATATTCAAATATAATCATTTCCTTGTGAGATAGTCCTTATTAAAAACAACTTGGAGAGAGTGTTTTGCATTAATCGGACAGATTTCTGTTGTGGACTCACAGTTTAAACCTGAATGGTCTAAACTATTTTTTTTTTTATTTGACTATTTGCATATTTTAGAGAGTCAGCAAAAGAGAAAAAAAAAAACCAACTCAATCACTGCAGTTTAGGCTGGATTTAAAATTGAGAGGAAAGAGTGTTTTGCATTAATCGAACAGATTTCTGTTGTGGACTCACAGTTTAAACCTGAATGGTCTAAACTATTTTTTTTTTTATTTGACTATTTGCATATTTTAGAGAGTCAGCAAAAGAGAAAAAAAAAAACCAACTCAATCACTGCAGTTTAGGCTGGATTTAAAATTGAGAGGAGTAACAACCATTTGATTTAGTAATCCTATGAATTATCAGTTTGCTATTCAATCTGAATTAATATTAAAACTATATAATAAAGTTAAATCAAAACCTATTTATAGTATTTCTCCCAACCCAATTCCCCAAAAGTCACATGGAATGGAACTCAACACCAATTAAACTGGGATAAGAAAAGCTCTCCCTTTTTGGTTCTCCCCGACAAGAGCCAAAAGGAATATGATGCTTATTTTGCAAGCAGCTGGTACCTACCAGTCAGGGACTGGTAATTCTTGCCAGCTCCTTGATATGAATCCTATCTAGCATGCCATATAATTAATTTGTTGATTTGTTTAATTTTAGTTAGAGCCTAGTTCATGAGCAAGTTATTTTCTCCGGTTTTAACAGCTTTTACTCTGTCTAGCCAATAAGGTGCAGCTAGTTAAAATTGTTAAGAGCTGGCTAATTCTATTATTCCAAAGCCCAAAATGAGCTTTTCTTTCTTACTACAAGTTTCACAACATGCATCCTCCTTTCCAATATGCTTCAGAAAACACAAGGGAGACAAACAGAAATCAGAGCTGGCCTCAGAAGCACTCAGAGACCCTGCTTGGGACCTTAGGAGCTCCTCAACGGTGCCAAGCCAGCAGACAGCAGCTGATGTGCAATGACTAGAACACACCAAGCCTGCAACCTCCAGCTGCCATGGACCCAAGTGGTGACACACAATGACCCTAACCACAGCCTGTGACACCTGTGTTTCATCGCATGGTCAAGAGCACCCAACACTCTGGCAGAAACTGCCTTTCCAGGTGGGAAAAATGGGACTTGATAAGTACAGGAACCAGGTCTGAGGGCTAAGGGAAGAGTTGTAGGCATGAGGCTCCATGTATAAGTGTTTTTTCTTACGGCACTTGCAACCAGCATCCCATTCTAGCAGTCTGGCTATTGTCAGCCAACCCTAACAGTGGGAAAATTTCAAGAGTTTTAGCATAACAAAAGCTGTCACTTGTCCAAGTATCATATTCCTTTTCCAGTATTGCTACAATTTTAAAAATGCAGTAAATAATGGAACAATAGTAACTTTCATTTGCAAAAGCTGAGGAGAGTAGTCTCTGGTTTGGTAGATGTACCAGCAAAAAGTCATTTTTTCTTATAGCCTTTGACTTATCTGGAAGTACATACTTCTGGAAGTACATAAAATGTGGTTTTTTTATCAAAAGCAGACAAAACTATGATAAAAAAAGTCCAGAGCTATCTACTGGGGCTGAAGTATCTGTGTTGAAGGGCAGAATCCATGCTGTTCCTTCATAAACACTGACGTATTCACATTCTCAAATACGAAGCCACAGATACTTCCTAAAGTTTTAAATAGTCCCCCCAGCATACATCATTGCCCACCAGCAATAAATGCTATGGTTCTTCACTTAATGTTTTCATAAAAATAAATACCTCTTTCAATTAAAAAGATTTTCCCTTCTTTTTGAAATTATTAAATTTGAGTTAGAGGAATGAGTGCTTGCTTAGTTCTAAGAGCAGACCTGAATTCTGGAATGAGTTTACTTTATGTAGAAATAATTACAGAAATAATGGGTTTAGCTGCAAGAACACTTCATTCTTTAAGCCCCAAGCAGCAAGTTTACTGTTAGTCCTACAACTACATTCTCCAACCCAGCAAGATTCGAACTCCTGCTTTCTGTCACAAAGATTTCTGCTTCTGAGGATACATTCATCTTTGTTAAATCACATACAAAATAATTATAAATAATCTTAAATATATGACCTGCAGGTATTAAACTCTCTTTGTTCTGATCACTTATCCAAGACTGAAGGTTAGAAAAAAGAATCTTATACAGTCTGGAAGTGGAAATACTGCTATTTATGAAATTCAAGTTTTAATTTTCTATTTTGACCTCAGTAAAGCTAGGGATTATTTTATTAAACTATTTGTATGTCAAGCTTTCTGAAAGATTAGTGAGGACTTACATAGTACTTACTGGACCATATACATAAGCAAACAGAAATCTGACATTGATGTACCTACATAGTTTCTTTATCAGTATAAACACATGAAATTTGATTCCAGTTCATACTGTTTCTTACCATCCCTATCATACTCACTGATCAAAGTTTGGTTTAGGCCTTAAATATTTCAGAGTATGGTCAAGAGTCCTGGGTACATAACACAAGTTAAGTAGTACCTCAATCCTCCGTAGATTCTTCAAGTATATCGAAAAGTACCTACATTAAATTTTGGATAGAAATCTGAATCATAAATAATCAAATGTTTTAAAAGAATAAAGATAAAAATCAAGCTATTTTCCACTCAATGCTATCTGCAAAGCCAAGAATGAAAGCTAAGCTTCTTGTTTAAAATTGTTTAATTGTTTAAGATTACATTGTTTAAGATGATTTTCCTCTCTGTTTTACAGGAGGAGCAGATAATTACTCAGTAAAATGGAATATTTAGAGACAAGTAAATTAAAACAAAAACTTGTGGGTTTCAGGAGCGGGTTTTGATAATAAAACTTATCAATGAAGAGTTCCTAGGAGCTGGTGAAGCTTCCCCTCTTGGAAGTGGCATACAAAGCAAACTGACTACCATTGAAGATTTTATGTTATAAATAGTTAAGCTTCATAGTTCCTCTGAAACTCTGTGCAAAAAAAAAACACCTGGAATTTAAATCTCTCAGTATAATTTTGAGGTAATCTAAAATATTAGATTCTAACTGCACTTGGAATAGTTTTATAGCGTTATAAAACATTATATTAGAAACAGCCTTGATCAAGTTGTTTTCCTGTACTAGAGCTGTATTTCACAATCAGAATTTGTGCCAATCTGATATGGGGGAAAAAAAAGCACTCAACAGGAGTGAAAGCATGCTATAAAAAGAAAAATTATATCATAAAAAAGATACAAAGTGTTTTGTCCTCTACAAGTCAACCAGCAGCTTTAGTCCTATCTAGAAACAAGACACATTTGTACAAGCGTCTTGGTAAAAAATTGCAAGCTTTTTGTTAAATAAATGTATTTTAGAGGTTCTGTGTAACTGCTTATATAGCCTTATTCTTCAGTTCTCTGTGTTAACGGTCATTTATGATCTATCCAATAGCTTGCCCTACAACACTTCCCTTCTACTCCTCTGAACACTGTTTTATTTCAACACATTTCTACAAAACTTATGGGGAATAGGATATGGTGTCACAATAGCTTAGTCATCTGATTGTACGGTCCTTTGAAATCGTCTAATTAAGTGTTACAGAATAAGATCTACATGATTAAAAACTAAGTAAGAAGAACTAGCCATGAATAAAAGTCAGTTTATGACTGCTCAAAAACAAACCAGCCCCCACTCTAAGGTAATTTTTAAAATAAATACCTGAGGCAGAGTCAGTAATCTAACCAGTGTATTACTAGAAAGCAGTGACACCACTTGCTATATTGCATACAAATCCACGGGCTTTTAAGAAGTTGAAGCTTTCTGACAGAATTCAGGACATCTATTATTATTAATCTTACCGTTCTATCATGGTTGAATAATAAAATATTAATATGATCCTTCTGTTTTCATAGTGGGTACTAGCGCTACTAGTCCATGCTGTTTATCAAATATTCTTGAATATGAGGATGTGTAATGGTCTAAATAGACCATCCCGTTGCAGGCTGTGGGCTTGTTTTCCCCCTTTCCGTTTTAAGCCTTTTGGTTTGCACCACTTCAGTTTAGACAGCACCACCAGGAAGCCGTTGAAAAATAAGTCACTGTTTAAGTAAGTAGTGCAATGAGTGCCAGCCAGATACATTTCATGTAATGCATCTCCCAGTTGCATCAAAATTTCTTAAGATTAACAGTTTACTACAGAAAAAAAAATCTGCTAGGGAAACAAATTAACTTTTAGTACATGTATAAGAAATAGCTGATTGACAGCTTCCCCATCATCAGAAGCTAAAGCTCTACCAGTTACTGTAGACAGCAATAAAAATCAGCTGAATTGGCAGCTAGGAGCACTGAATAACAGGATCAGCCATATTAGCTTTGTAGTTTACCACTATAGCACTAAAGTTTGAGACAGAAAAATCCAAGCATTTTGCTTTGAATAAACCTGGAAAATGGTCCATAAAATATACCTTAAAAATGCACATTTTAAAACATACCTCAATTTAACGGAACAAAAATTAGAGGTTTTACCCATTTTCTGCTATTTACTTCTTCCATTATTCCTCTGAAACGCACAAGTATCATTGGCAATGTATGCAGCTGAGTACCAAAATAAAGAATTCTCTTTGGAATAGTACAGAATACTTTTCAAATGCCTCTTTTCATAGTTAAAGTATTTTAAACCTTAGACTGAGAACAAGGACCTAGAATTCTAACTGCCTCAACTAACAGTTCTGATTAGAGCCCTCTTAATCACAGACAACATCAAAATTAATTTCATGTTCCTCCCCAACACAACTTGCACTTTAAATATTGCTTCCTATCACCAATCGTTTTCTTAGTCTGTAACACAAAGAGAAATAGCTGTAGTTTTGAATACATCATATGTAGGAAGAAACATGCACTTACCAAGTGAACATAAGGCACAAAGTATCCGAAAAGTGCAGCTGGGATCCCAAAAGCCCAGATTCGGTAACTGGGAACTTTGAAAACGGAGAAATTGCAAATCTTTTTTTCAGAAGGAAATCTGAACTTTCCCTTCTTTCCTCCCTCCTTGTCTTTGGTGTTGGAAACGAGGGGTTTGTACGTAAAGCCAGCCAGGAACAGAACAAACATAAGGATGCACAGGACCCGCAAGGTGTTGTATAGGCCAACAGAATCGATCAAAACTCTCAAGAGGAAGGGCAGTGACACAGTGAACAAGCTGCTGCCTGCAGTGACAATGCCATTCACTAGTCCAAGGCGTTTCTTGAAATACTGCCCAAGAATGACCAAGGATGGCTGGTACGCAAATGAGCAGCCACAGGCAAATAAGACTCCGTAGGTGAAATATAGAGGTTCAATAGTGCTGTATCAAAAGAAAAAAGAAAAAATCATTAGTCTTTTGTACAACATTGTGTGCTCACATTCACCTACCATCTGCAAAGCAGTTTTTCAATGAGTTGACATATTTACAGAAGTGAGTTAAGAGTTTGTATGCACTTGTAGTTGATATACACTGTGTCAGCTTAATTCAGCAATTATTCTATTTTCTTCCACTGAAAATTTCATAGAATTCACTGAACAGGTAAAAAAGCAAAATTATATTTAAGTATCATTACACCAAATACTCTGACTAAAAGAAAGTTTCAAAGTGAGAGTGAATTCACCAAATGTAAGTTCAACCATTGCTGGGTTTATAATTTTCTTTGGAAAAGAAAAAAACGAATTGCTTTCATTTACACATTTCTTCACTGTGCTAACGGTTCAAACATAATACTGAACACTCCTCATGAACCCAGAAAAACCAAGTATTTACATAGTTTATTGTGAAAATACAACAGCAAAAGTAGTAAACATCATTAATAATGAAAAACAAAACAAAAATAGGACTAAAATTTGACAGTATAATACATTATAGCAAATGATAGACTTTAGGTATTTTTTTTAGACAAATAATCCCCTTTTTATTAAATATTCTAAATTCAGTGTTTTGATCCAGATATTGGATATGCTAAGAAAAAATAGGGAAAAAAAACATTAATAAAGAATGAAACATTTCAGCTCATATTAAGGAGGATCTTTATTACAAGGTTCTTCACCATTACCATCTACTATACAACTGAAATGAAGCAGAGCCATTGTATTAGATCACAGGCAGACGTGTGACATTAAAAGGTACCTTTGTGCAAGAAATTGTAGCAGTGTTAGTATAATTAATTAAATTAGTATTATAGTATTAATAAGTCAACAGAAATATTTTTTACATTTAGATGAAGGAGGCAATGTGTGAGAAGTGTTTTTATACAAGATTTCTGAGGTGGCACATGATGACTTTTTTTTAATACTATGTTTTCAATGAACCATGGGCTCTTTTCTATCAGCTAACACCTGCTTTTAAAGCAGTTATAGAAAACCATTTAACCTGTTACCCAATATATTAACTTTTTTTTTTTAAGGTCTATGAATGCTTTATGTAGTGCTTTTTGTTGTAGGATGTTACCTACCAGCATCCCTCTATACCAAAATACACTCCACAAGCTTCCCATGCAATTATAGAAATTCTTAGAAAATAGTATTTGACTAACAAAGGTCTGACACCAGGAACTCTGGTTTTGTGTATTATTGTGAAAGAATATTTTTGTAACATAATATTGTTGCTTTCTACATTAAACTATCAGTTCCTAAAACTGATTATATACAAGGTAAGCCAGTCAAAACAACATAACAGGGAAAGACCAATTATCTTTATCAACGGAAAATAACCAGGAAAAATAAAAACAGAAATTATGAAGTGAAAGTAGGAATGTAATACAGTAAGTACAGAGAACTTCTGCTTCCATTCAAAGAGTTTGCAGCATGACATAGTAAAATATTTTCCTGCATTACAAATACTCTTACATCTCAGCTTCCTAAGAGATAAAATTTATATTAAGAAATCAGTATGTAACAAAAGCAGTAAGTCATATTTACATTTATCTACTGTACCATATTTTACTTTTAGAACCTTGACTTCTATCTCTGAACTGTAATCCCTCAATTAACTGATAACATCATAGGCATAAATCATTTTAGTGTAAGTAACAATGAAACACAGAGAATGCACGTTAACATGGCATGTGCTCTAACAAGAATTCACCTCTCCTTTCAAAGTGCTCCTCAAATTCTAAAACAAAATTCAAATAAGCTACGTATTTTTTAAAACCTTTACAAAATAACTTCCTTTTGCATGCCTCTTCTGTGCCCTTGTTCCATTGGATGTCAGGGTAATACAGGGATGATAGCATTTTGTTCAAAGGAAGAAAACATCTTTCCTTTATCAAGAGGTTTAATTTATAATAACGAGACTGTTGTAGTATTCATCACTTAACACACTACTGGTAAGCAAGGAGGAAGAAAGACTTTTCCAAGATGTATTCTTTTAATTTTTACCTCATCTGTGGTAACAAGCCGTTTAAAACATATCAGGAAGTGGGTTTTTTGTTTGTTTGCTTTAATAAAATGAATTAATCAAAATATTTGCACTTGGATTAACCAAAAAATAAAATAAAAATCAAACTTGCTCATGTAACAAGAAAGCAAAGCTTTCTTTTTCCCATAAATATAACTTATTCCAAGAATAAATATAAACACTAGTCTCGGTACCTAAGACAGAACTATTTGTCTTCTCTTCCTGTACATTTGTGGATATGTTTTCATATTAGGGGACATATGCCCAAACTAGACCTATTAGCTCAGGCACAGTGCCACACAGCATGGCTAGTTGTCCATCCAGATCACAGCCAGCTCACATCTATCTGGTTCAGAGTACAGGGATAGAAAACATTTTCAGAAGCCTGTCTGTATAGATAGATTTTCATCGATGTAGGAAACCTCTCCTGGATTTTGCTTTTGATTGTTCCTGTACTTTTTCTGCTAAGAGTGGGGGGAAAAAGCAGACTGAGAACTAGAGGTAACTGTAGCTTATTTTCCTGCTACTTTTTACCCTATCTTCACTAACCAATTTCTGCTGATGACTAGAATAAGTGAGTAAATTTCCTGTTTCCTCATCTTCTACAGGGCATGTCCAAGAAATCAGCTGCTCTTGAACTCCTTAGGAATTATTCTGCAAGAGTTACAGAAATGTACAAAATGAAGTGTAATCTGGAGAAAAACTTCGACTACTGTTCAAGTTTTCTCAACAACACAAGAAAGAACTGAGATTTTCTTAATAAAGCCAATAAGCCCTAAGTATATGTCATTATAGCAAGGGTTTCACTATCTCTGTGTTTGGCAATTGGACCAGTAAGAATAGAAGAAAACATCACATTTTACTACAACATTAACACCTTCCTGGAGGTCCTACTGTATATTTATCAACATTAAAACAGTGTTTGAAAAGCAAATTGAGGGGATGGGGCAGTGGGGGAAAACAAACAATGTTTATGTACCTGCTAAAACACAGCATACATCAAGCAAATATACAAGTTTATCCAGGACAATGCTGTTGATCTTATAGCATTAGTCTTGCTTTGATACATTTAAACATAGTGGTTCCTGTTAAATAGGAAGTGCTGTTATGAGGTTATATTATATTTTTAAAATTACTTTTGAAGTTGAAAGTATCACTTGGAGTTTTCACAAGTCAGTTAGAAAGACAAAAACAAATAAAACAAGGTTTCTGCTCTAACAGATAATATAAAGTAGCACTGCTTACTCCTTCGTATTCTGTTGGTATGATCAGCATTACCACTACACTGTAAAATTGATAAAATACTTCTAATGTAAAGAAAAGAATTTTTTACCTCACAAAAGAACTTGAAAGGAGTCCAGCAAACCCTACTGCAGCTCCAATAACAGCTACTTTTCGACAACCAAATATGTCTGTGAATATGCTGACTATTGGAGAACAGAAGAAGACCATCCCCATAGAAAGAGAGCTGACCCATGCTGCAAAACAGAAAAAGACAGCATTTTAGAAGACCAAGTGATTTAAAAATTTCAGCAAGTATCTGTTTTAGTTCAGCAACATAAAATCTTAGATAAAAGTTGGGTAACAACTGGATAACTATTTTAAAAATATTTAAATTTTAAAATATATTTAGCTAACATGGTAAAAAAGCCTGACCAATTTACATAACCACCTAATTTAGACTTTATCAGCTCAAGGAATGCAATTAGCTACAAAGTTATTACTTTTACTTTTTTTTTTTCCTTAAAAAAAAAAAAAACAAACCACACAATTATTCCTCCAGTAACTAACCTAGTATTCAAACTGCTGACTAGGCCATTAAAGATACCTTTAAGGCTCCATATCCATTCTGACATCAATTAGCACGTTTCACTTGATTTAATTCTAGACTTTAATGAATTTAAACAGCTAGGTTTGCTGAAAAAAAATTAAAATTAACCAATTTTTAACTTAATTACATAGATCTAGATCATACTGAACATTAATAATGACTAAATGAACAATAGGCTTTTATACTGTAATACACACATTAGAAATATGATTTCACTTTAAACTAAAAGAACTTGAGCTACTACAACCATTTCCATATAGAATAGGAAAATGTCACTACATCTGATACTGCTCCAGCTTTACAGACACTGTTAAAACTGTACTTTGTTTATAAATGAGTCTTTAGATCATTAAGATTCAGTTTAGGTGAGTACACTAAAGTTTCAGCCATAAGTGTGTTTTTTATTCCAAGTGTACCAAAAATATTTTCAAATTACTTAGGTAGAAGAGAATTTGATTCATTTTAAATTAGAAGTCAGCTTTCTGCTTCACTTCATACGGGTGTTCAGAACGACATCATTTACTTGCTGTCATCTAATCGTTCTTTCAAACGTGCGTTACTCATGTTATACCCAACAGTTCTCCCAGGGCATAAAGGTAAATCAAGCTGCTGTAGCACAATAGTTACAACAAATATCTTCAAGTGGGTAAATGTCCCCATCTATTTGGGGAAAAAAAAATTGTCTAAATAGGTAGTGGAAAAAGCTGCTGATGCAAGATGCATAGGAAAAAAAAAATATTGTAACTTCTTTTTGAATTGTACGGAAGATGAAACAACTGTTTCAACCTGGAATGGATTTAAATCTGTGTAACTGGAATTTTATTTAGAATATCTTTCCTAAAGACACAGTTAGATAAACAATTGTGATTCAGTGATAAGGGCAAATAAAGTTATCTGGGGGAAAAAAAAAAATATAACCAAGAGACCTAACGAGAAATATTTGCAAGTCTATCTATCAATGCCAAGACTTAGAAGCAGTGTTGTTAAAGCACCAGTAAGCTCTACACATTGATGAAGACCTCATTGTGCAAGGCACTAAAGAAAACAGAGCAAAACAAACAAGCAAACAAAAAAAAAATTGTTTCTTCAAAGAGTTTAGAATGTAAGTGAAAGACAAAAGAGAACAGATGGCTAGAGAAAAACAGAAATGAGAGTACATGACATAAAACCTTTATTTTAGGGCAAACAATGATCTCAATGAACCATGACCTAACTGTTTGGGGCGGGGGGGGGGGGGGGTTACTGGGGTTAAAAAAGATTGTGAAAAAAATAAGGGGGTTGCAAGGCACC